GCCTCTTTTCCAGAGCGAGCCCTCTACACCCTGGAGTGCGCCTTCCACCCGATGTTCAGTCTCACCAGCGGGACCTGCAGGCTGGACTACTGCAGGCCTGAGAACAGGTAAGCAGCTTACCGTTGGTGCTGGAACGAAGAGAGGGCCGGAGTGCTCCTGTTTTCCTTGCAAGGCCCAGAAGAGCAAGCCCCGCCTGGCTGCCCTGGGCTTCGCAGGGGGGCGCTTGTCCCCAGGCTCTGGAGAAGCGCCATCGCCATCCTGGCCCCCCTCTCCTTCCCCACCCAGACCGAAGGTGATCAGAGCCTGGTGTTCTAGGGCCTGCCCTATTAACGGTGCGCCTTTCCTTCCTGCCGGTCCTTCGCAGAGCTTTCTATCTGGCTCTCTTCAAGCACATGGTGTTCCTTGAGAGGAGAGGCTGCCCTCGCACAGCCCTGGAGTTCGGCAAGCTTATTCTGAGGTAACAGCCAGCCGGCTCCCGTTGGCCTTCCTCCGGGTTTTAGATTCAGAGAAGGGAGAAAGGTTCTCTCTTATCTCGGCCTTGAGGACCAGACCTTCCGTGCGCAGCTTTCTATGTTGTGGTGGAAGTCGTTCAGAGAGTAGCTCATTGGTAATGCTTTTAGCATAACTGCATCCCATGGGGAAATGGAGGGCAAGTTTGCTTTGGGTCAGTCTTGAGGGGAGGAGATAGCCGGGGGCATCTTTGACCTCGTCTGATTTCTCCTGTTTCTCTCCTCACACATATGCGTGCGCACACACACCCCCGGCCCCCCTTAATCTCTCTCCATCTCCAAAGCCTTGATCCAGAGAACGACCCACTCGGCGTGCTGCTGATCATCGATTTCCTGTCACTCCGAGCGAGAGAATATACCTTCTTGACGCGCATGTTTCACGAGTGGGAGGTGAGCGGCTAGCAGGTGGCCCAGCAGGAAGCGCCCGCAGGATCGAAGGCAGCCAACCTCCTGGGGCTGCTGCCCTGTCGGGGTGAGAGCGAGGCTGGCCGTGGGAGGACGGGCGGGTTCGGTTCCACCAGGCTGTGTTGCTGGGAGGCAGGCCTCTGACCCTCTTTTGGTCAGCTGGAGCTCAGCTGTCCACTTCCAAAGGGTGCACGTTTTCCCATATAATGCTATTTATGCGTTCTGTCTTCCCTTCTTCTATCCCAGCCCTTGCAATTAAAATGTAGAACTTGGAATGGATTTCTTTTGGCAGGAACATAGGGAGAGAACTCATTTTTGCAAATTCTTTTGCGGTGAGTTTTGGCAGGATACGTGTCCACCAGGTTCTTCTGGAGGATTCTGTATGCCGGACCTCCTTCTTAGGCTTTCAGTCCATAGCTTTCTTCCCGGGATGAAGACCTGTTTGCAAGAAAACTATTATTTTTCACAAACGGCCTAAATTTTAGGGCCATGCCACTCAGAGATAAGGGAACAAGACAGTTCTTGCCGTGGGGTTTCTAATTAAGAGAAAATACGAGAGAAATGGGGAAGAGGCGAAAGGATGTTGAGCAAAATCCAGTGCCCGTAAGGCAAAAGCACTTAAAGGGCATGATGACTGAGAGCATCTGCACGTGAAGACCTTCAGAACAAATTGACAGGATGTTCTCAGACTTTACGAAGTCGTGAACTGGCAGGACGTGCCTTTCAGAAATGAAACAAGCTGTCCAGAGGATGGACTGGATCATGTGTGGTGCTCGTTCTTCTGACCCGACTGCCTTGCTTCCTAGGGTCACCGGAACCTCTCCCAGCTCCCGAACTTCGCCTTCTCGGTCCCTCTGGCCTATTTCTTTCTGAGTCAGCAGGAAGACCTCTCAGATGCCGAGCTCAGCCAGGCCCACGAAAGAGCTGCCAGCCTCCTCCAGCAGGCGCTGATCATGTTTCCTAATGGTGAGCTGGTCTGCAAGAGGCGGGTAGCTCTGTGTGAGGAACAAACGGGAGGCCGTGGCATAGGTGGGCGTTGAAGGGAGGCCGAGAGGAGAATTGGACCAAGGACAAACCGATTCCTTGGTTTGGGCAAATTTAATAAGTTTGGGGATCCAGAGGGCAGTCTCCATGTGAGTTACCAAACTTCCCAGTGGCATTCAATGTCCTTTCCCAGGAGAAAAGGTAGGAGACTGTCAGACTGAGTTTGGGCAAGCCACCTGTTTGGGATGATGGAATTGCATGTTTCCTACATAGACAGAGTTTGACTAAGTGACTCTCCAGGGGTCTTCAAACTCCACAGTTCTGTGATTCCGTTTCCAGAACAGTTATGAAACAGAATTAGAAGTCTGGGGGAGTTGCAAGATTTCCTTTTCTGGAGGTGCGCATTTCATTAAAGAGAGAGAGAGAGAGAGAGAGCGCGCTGAGAGAGCCTTTCTGCTGTGGATGATTTAGCTCCTAGGGAATCTCCCTCGGCTCTGTAACCCACAACGACAATCCGCTTACTGGTTCCCACAGAAATGTCTCTATTAGCTGCTTGGTTTGTGAAGGCATGGGGGACAGTAGGGCCCAGGTGGGTCATTCCCATAACGAAGAAAGCTGCAATGAGAGCAGATTGGCTCTCCCATCCACTTTGCCTGCCCTTCTTTGTGAATAAAGCCCTGCTTATTCTCTCATGAGGATTGGTGTGCAAGAAGGCAGGGTTGCTAAACCACAGGCCGGGTTGGGGCTGTGTGTGCTTTCATCCCATTTTCCCATGACTAGCTGTCTCCTCTTGGTACACGCTTCCCTTCTGAAGATGCTCAGATCCTCCCTTTCATCTGGCTGGGGCTTGGGCTGCTTTGGCGGGAGCCCAGCTGGCTCTCACCCTCTCGGCCTGACAGCTCCCAAGATGGCCCAAACAGTTTGGCTTTGATGGACCAAAATATATATTTTCCTCCAAGCAGCTTTTGATGGCAGTATCCGGCGCCATTTTCATCAGGGGAAGGCAAAATATTAACGCAAGCGAAAAGCTAACCTGAAATACCTCAAGAGGCCATCAAAACTAGCCGGGTCAACTTTCAGACCAAATTCAGGCAGATGGTTTAATGGCAGCGTGTGTTGCTTGCAGAGCCATCTCATTCAGAATGTGTCTTTGCGGTGAGAGGAATCGGGAAACAGCTGTCAGGCTGCAGTTATTCGGGGCTGTTGGCCGAGGGGCCGTTCTTGCTTTAGGTTCAGAGAGAAGAAGGTTCTCTCCTCTCCGCAACGCTCTGGAAAGCAGAGGGGTCTTAACGTCCTCATGGTTCTGAAGGGTTACAGAAATGATGCTTCCTGCACACAGGAGCAGCCGTGGACAGAAACATTTGGGGTTGAAAAGCTTGAAAAACCTCCTGGGATCAGAGTCAGGCCGACAGGGTGCCAACTGCCCTCTGATCCTGCCAGTGGGCGCAGCCAACCGCTTGACCCTTGTGGAAATGGGAAGGTGGACAAGAGAGAGGCTTCCTTTGTCTCGATGTAGCCTCAGGGCTCAGTTGATATCCTTAAACTGAGCCTTGATTCCTCCTGTTCTCTTTGAAAGGCCCAGTTCAGTGCAACAGAGCTTGGCACTTTGAACGGCATTAGCCCTTGGAACAGCTTGAAACCCATACTTCCTTGCTGCATTCAAACAGTGGCCTGTTTGCTATAGATAGCTCTGTGTGCCTTCTTCACCCACCCACCCTCTTCCTTTCCCAGTCCTGATGCCTCTGCTGGATCGCTGTAGCGTGCAGCCAGACGCCACGGTGGCCTCCCACCCGTTCTTCGGAGTGGATGCCCAGCTAAGGTCAGGAGCGTGTGTGGGAACGTGCTTCGCCAGTGCCCAGGAAGGCGTGAGCCTTGCCAAACGGGGAGGGAAGCGGTCGCCAAACCATGTTGCTCTCAGATTTCAGGGCGCAGGGAGCCCCCAGGAGGGGCCAAAGCTTCCAGAATGCCTTCTTCCTGGGAGCATGGAGGACGTTGTTTGAATGGGGGTGAGGTGGTTGCATGTCAGGGCTCTCAGTCCTTGAGATCAGATCGGCCAGGGGCTTCTTTTGAACCTGGTTTCCCAAGGAGGGGCAGTGGAAAGGCTGGGGTGGAACCCACAGTCATGCCCAACTGTGACATGGGAAGGGGAATGAAAACCCCCTCTGGAAGCGCCTTGATCTCCTCTCCCTTCGCCCCTCTGTTCTGCCGTGGGCAGCCCTGTCATGCTGAGTGGCACATGGGAGGGAGGCCCTTGGCCATTTTCTTCTCAGAAGCACCTCCTCCTCTCAGAGACCCCGAGCGGACACGGTGGAGCGCTCTGCCCTCTTCGTCATCAGGATTGCCTTCTCCCTGCAGTTCTCCTCCTGCGTTGAACCAGCTGGTCTCTCTCTATCTCGGGAGAAGCTGCTCCCTCTGGAAGGACCCGGCCGTGATGGCCTGGCTGGAGACCAACGTGCACGAGGTCTTGCGGACGGTGGACTCCAAGGACCCGAGGTTGGAAGAGGCTGAGCAGAAGTGAGTTGGGCCCCGGCTGGGAGGGAGCTTTCTTCCTCCTGCCCAAGACTGGTGGGCGCTTGGATGTCAGAAGAGCCACCTCTGACCCCTGCACCTACCCAGATGCGCCAGCCCCCGTTCCCTGCACACACACTTCCCCCCTCCCCAAGGGCTCCTTGCTCGGTGGGTTGCTTGACATTTGTTCAGTGGCGTTCTTGCCTTCGTACTCCAAGGAGGAGGCGGGGTTGAAGCTTGCACCATCCGATCAGAGAAATTAACTGGTGGCTGGACTGGGCTTCCTGTCTGGTTAGATGTAACGGAGGTGGGAAGAGGAGGCACAGGGTATCCAGTTAGTGACTGCTTTCTTTTTCTCTGGGTCTGCCAAGATCAGGCTGAGTGAGCTTTCTACCCATCATTCCCTCCCGTCTTTCAGGGGTCACCCTGTGTGAAAGTAAGGCTCCAGCAGCAGCCTTTGCTGAAAAGAGGGCAGGGCTAATGAAAAGCGCAGGCCGAGTGAGAGAAGAGAGCGACTTCCGGGATCGGTTCCTCTCTGCTTGGAGCCTTGGGGTCCCGTAACATGTCCTCTGCTTCTTTGTCTTCTCCTGTCCTCAGGCGAAAAGCCAGGTACCAGAACGCTCCCAGGAACGTTTATCGCCATGTGATCCTCTCAGAGATCAAGGAAGCCACTGCCGCTTTGCCTCTGGTGAGGGCTCTGAGGGTGATGAGCTGGGTCGGGGACAGATGGCATGTAGACCTCCAGGTTGTCTGGAGATTTCCTGTTCTGGACTTTCCTGGAGACTTAAAACTGTGACCCTCCTGGTCTCTCTCCCAACCCTTCCAATCCTTGGGTTATGCAGCTGGCTTGGACAGGGGCGGTGGAGCGGCTCTGCCCTCTCCCACCTCTGGAAAAGTAGCACATGAGCTGGTGACGGGGAAGGGGACGTTGGGCCTCTGTGGATTCCCAGTCTTTCCCTTGCAGTTTTTTGTTTTTGTGGGGGGGGGGATTGGTCTTAGTTTGAGCAGTTATCCTGTAAGTTCCAATTAATATTCATCTCTTAAATACTTAATAACGTTTCCCATTTTTCCTTCAAATATTGTTTTCATTCTTCATTTCTCCTCATCCGAGTAATTTAACAATAAACATTCTGACTTTCCCCAATTTACTTTTAATCCTGTTATACCCTCGAATTTCTCCAAATGTAATTTAAGCCTTTCTGCTGTTTCTGTTGGATTTTTAACTATTAATAATGTGTCATCAGCAAACAGGTTTATCTTACCATTTTCTTTATATTCTATTCCTACAATCTGTTTATCATCTCTATCTGTGCCAGTCATTCTATCATCATTGTAAATAATAAACGAGATAAGGGGCAACTTTGTCTTGTACCTCGGCCTAGGTATATTGTCTCAGTTATTCCACCATTAACTATTACTCTAGCTGTATTCTGTAAATAGAATTGGTGAATCATCTGCCTAAAATTAGGTCCAAACCCTAGATATTTAATTAATGTCTTCAACGTATCCCATTCCACTGAATCAATTGCTTTAAATATGTCTAACGATAGTACAATAGTAAAATTGTTTTTCTGTAATCTTCAATTTTCATTATAGAAGGAGTTTTACTGGTATATAAAGTTTTATAAAATGTTTGAAATGCTTCCAATTTCTCCTTCATTTTTTACATCTTTTTCCATTCAAATCTTGTATTACTCCTGTATTACTTTTATTAAGCATCAGATTCCCTTTGAAGAAATAAAAAACCTTGGGGTTTTGTACCCATTGAAGGCTGGGGCGGGAGTCATGCGCTCTGCCCCAAGGAAGTATTCAGTCTGTTACAGTTAACGAGTATCTTAAACTCAGTTCTTAAAGTTTCTTTAAATCTGATGTTTACTGCTTGTACCCAACCCCGAGATCTGTTTGCATAGGTTGGATTAGAAGCATTTTTATAGATCAAACAAGCTGCTTTTGTCTGTGAGTCCTCCAAGGCAATTCTCCTTTATTTTCCTTGGGAAAAGGCCAAATTTGGCTTCCGAAAAGTAGCTAGGTTCTGCTGCTCTCCTAGCTCACGCAACCCACCCCCCCTTCCTTTTGTCTCTTGTTTTCAGAGTGTCAGCCTTCAGGTAGAAACCATTGCCTTTTTGTTATTTTTTCGGGCCATGTCCACCCAATGGCAGCTGGTCACGGGAAGGGAGATCAGCCCCACCGCCTCTGCTGAAAAACCTGAACCGTTTCCATTCAGGCTGTTAACAACTTTTTACAAACCAGTCCCTGGAGCCTGCTTGTTTTCCTCCTCCTCTCCCATCCCTTTTTCCTTTTGTGTCAAGACCCCTTAGCTGTAAGGCTGTCTTAAGGAGCTTGATTCATGCAATCTGCTCTAGGAGCATTTTTTTAAAAATCAAAATGCTATAAACAGAGGAGGAAAACAACCTCATAACTAAATTCTCTTTCCTTCCCCCTCCTCCCCAGGAAGTGACCTCCCAGCCTATAATGGGATTTGATCCCCTGCCGCCTCTGGACTCCATCATTTCTTACACAAGGCCAGAAAGGTACACCCCTTGGTCTCTTCCTTTCCCACCCGATCTGTGGGCTTCGGTAGCTGAAACACTGGCTTTGGCTGGTCTCAGCCTTGGACAGAAGCTGGAATACTGGCCTGAAAAATCCCAGCCAGGATTTTTCCAGACACTGGGCTGTCCCAGATATTGCTGTTTTCTAGGCATCGTTGTTTCAAAAGCTTTAAACGAGGGTGCTTTGGATCAGGAGAGCAGAAGGCTTGTCCTGTGCCACATAGCAGAGGTCGCTCTCCTGAACCCATGCCATCCCAATATCGCTTTGCCTCTCCCCACAGTGGTTCTGAGCATGGAAAAGATCTGTGTTTGGGCCACAGCTCCCAGAATCTGATAGCCACTGACCATGCTGTGTTGATGATTCTAGGAGCTATTTTCCCACCAAAAAACCAAATATCCCCTAAATGTCCCATGCTGTGAACTGAGATGAAGGACCGCTCTCTTCCCCCTCCTCTCTTCCTTCCCACCACACGTCTGAAGGCTCCCCCGACAGCCTTGCAGAGCCGGTCAGGCTAGGAGGGAATCCTTTTAGCGCAAGGCCACTGAGCGGCTGGCTCCTCCATAAATGAACGTGGGTGTGGACTCCGTTTCCCCTGGTTCTTCTCTGGCATTCCCGGTTGTCAGAAGGGAGTTGAAAAGGAGCATCCTTCTCTTCTTGGAGAGGGGCTCATGGGATGTGTTCCTGACCAGACCTTGGTTTTCGTTTTTCTTTTCTTCCCCCTAGGACAACCCACCCGTCCAGTGAAAGCACTTTATCTCTCTTCTTCCGCTCACTGTTGCCAAACTTCAACCTGCAGGTGAGTTGAGTGTGACGGGAATGGCTTTGGGGAAGCGGGGATGGATTTCTGACATCCCGCACACAAGGGCGACCTTCCCCCCCCCCCATTTGGGAAATGTGCCTTAGAGATTCTGGGACGCCTGGTCTCCCTTACTCTCCCCTATAAGAACCTCAGTGGCTGAACTCTCTCGAAAGGTGCTGGACTCGCCTTCAGTGGAGGTTTTCCAGCTAAGGCCTCTGTCCCTTAAGCCTGAGGAAGGTAGGGAGCTGCTTTATATCAGGTCATCCGTCGAATCCAATACAGTTGGCTTTGACTGGCAGCCATGGCTTGTTAGGATTCCAGGCAGGATTCCTCCCCAGATTCCTGGGATTCCGTGAAGGTCTTTCCCTTCTGTTCTCATCACTCCTGGCCTCGCTGAGCTTCCAAGATGAGACAAGACCCGTGTGTTGGGTTGGAGCTAACCAAATATAAGAGGAAGTTGAGCGGAAAGCTTCTGGTTATTGTAGTGGGGGGGGGGAATTTTTCAAGAATGTGTCAGAAACTTTGTAATCCTTGTTTTCTAGCCCTTCCACTCCCGAGTCCTCAAGGCCTGGGCTTTGTAGTCCCACAGCCGAAGGGTGCTTTGTTCTCCTTCCTATCACATGCTCTGTTTCAGGGAGAAGCTGGAGCCGGCAGGGAGGAGGATCCGGGCGCCGGGCAGAACCTCAACCAGGGTGTGAACCGACTCATGGCAGCCATGCGGGACATGCTGGCCAACATCCAGTTCCAGGAGCCGCCCCGGGACGACAACCCCGAGATGGATGGAGGAGAGTGGGACTGACCCCTTTTGCCCCAGACACACTCACCCTCCTCCTCCTCCTCCCCCCCACCCTCCCAAGGGATCTCCCCTGCCATGAAATAAACGGATCAGAAGGACAGGATGTTCTCTGTGTCTCGTGCGTACACCCCTACAAGATAGGTAGCCTCGCCCAGCATGTCAGAAGCAGGGGGCCAAGGGGCCAAACTTGGCAAAGTCATTTGGGAAGCGGCCCCTCCAGCCACTGCTGTGCTCCAGAAGTCAAGTTAGAGAACCATCATCCTGAGGGTCATCAAGTCCTTTCCCTGCAGCTGAGGCAGGGGATCCCACGCTTCCAGCCTCCCCAATGGATGGCCCTCCAGTGTTTCGTTTGGAACCTTCCAACGAAGGAAGGATTCACCGCCTTCCGAGGTAGACCTTTCCACTCTTAGATAAGATCTACCCCTTTCCACTCTTAGATAAGATCCACCCCATGCAACCTGAGGACATTTTTCTGGGAGGGCTGTGAGATGTAAGAATCTGCTCCAGGGCTGAGCGAAACAAGGTGCGAGAGATCAGTTCTGTCAAGTTTTAAAAGCAGCTGCTTAGGACAAATTTGAATAAGAGCTCGGGTGCTGAGGGAAGAGGTGCTGCCCCCCTCATGTCATCTTCCTGATCAACCAACCCAACCACCCACCCCCTCAAAAAAGGAACACACAGAGATTGCAGCAGCTGCCTCTTCTGGGACAAAATGCTGTAATTCCCTAAGTGTGACGGCGTGTGGGGTAGTAGGGGCTCTAGAGGAAAGAGGTAAATTCGCCATGTCTCTCTCCCCAGTCTTGATCCAGCCTACTCCCATGTTGTGAAAACATCAGCAGGAGAATCAACAGTGGGCCCCCTTCCTCCTTCAGGGCTCGGGTGTCATCATCCTACTGGACGGGATGGCGCTCCAGCATCTCAGCCCTGGCCTTTCATCTCTGATCTGATTTTCAAGCTAGCATCATGAGTGGTGCAAAGATAACAGGCAGCTAATGCAATTTAGGCGCACCGAAGCCTTGCCTTGAGCTGGTGGAGGAATAAAAGGTTTGGTCACATCCGACAGGAAGGGTTCTGCTTCACTTAAAGTCTGGGTCTGCCTCAAGAGTCGAATCCCGTTCTGGCCCAGGAGCCAAAGAATCCGAGCACTGTAAAGGAATGAATACTTCCTCGGGGCAGAGCGCGTGACTCCCACCCCAGCCTTCAATGGGTACAAAACCCAAGGTTTTTTTTTTTTATTTCTTCAAGGGGATTTTGATGTTTTCATGAAGGTCAGGCAAGGGCATGGCCACGGGGATGTTACAGTCAAGCCATAATTAGGGGAGGCTGTTCTCCAAAAATAGATTTGTTCTCCCTCGTACTGACAGTTCTACGTGTCAGCTGACAGCGGATGAATTTAGAGTGTCATGGAATCAAGTACAGGGTTAAACAGAACCATGCAAACAGCTTTATTTCCAACAGGAGTAAGTGTCTCTTGAGGGTCAATCCTACGAACAACAGAGACTGGCGAAACGTTAGGAAGAACAACCTTCAGAACACAGCCAAAGAGCCCAAAAAACCCACAACAGCCTTCGCGAATATATTGGAGTTGTGCTTTTTGGAAAATAGGGACAAAGTCTTACTTTTTTAAAAAAAAGCGTTCAAGTCCTGTTGCCTCCTTAGCTGAAGATGGAGTGAAACCTATAAATGACACAGGAAATCAGTATTAGGTTTGGCAGTGTTTTTTGGAAAGGGGAGATGAATTCACTAAAGGCTTTTCTGCATGGTTGGGAGACCTGAACAGTACGCAGAAGATGCTGTAGCGCTGAATCACTTTATCACCAAAAGCTGCTTCAGGAAGTGATAGAAAATTAGAGAAAAGCTTTTGAGCACCTTCGACCGTCTTGATGAGCTCTGACGGTAGGGTGTAGAGATCAGACCTGGTCATAAAATGTTTGGACAACTTCAAAAAAAGATACTCCACAGAGGATGAGCAGGAAAAAGCTCTTCACAAGGAGACTGTGACAGACAGAGAGAGCTCATAGACTCGTGACAAAATAGCATGTTATTCAAGTGCTAAAAATAAAAATAGTTGAGTCAAGATTTATAGCAATAACAGTTGATTTTTTAATTTATTTCATAACTGCAGTGTTAAGCATGCAAATTCATCTGTGGGTGAATCCTGGCAGCAAGACATGGCAGACGTGAGTCGTATCCTCCCCACCCTCTCGGAAGTGGAAGCAAAATCCGCATGCTACTTCAGAAACTCTTCCTGAACTTCCGCTCGGCCCCGGCGGTTCCAAAGGGAGCCTGTTGCCAGCGCAGGTGAAGCAGAGAAACCCCCTGGCCCAGCTTTTGGTGCAAATTTTGCAGCTTCCAGAGCCATCTGTGCTCCGAAGGGCCTCCTCGGGGGCAAAGTGACCCAGAATGGGCGTGAGCAGGACTCCCGAGGCCCGTGGCTGCCTCTCGCTGTTCCGTTCACACTTTGAAGTGGTAGCGCGTTGCTCGGGCCTCAAAGGCCTCATTGATAACGCAGAAAACACTCTTGCAACTTGGCTCAGAGGACAGGAAGAGCGGAAACCTGGCCATTCCAAGTGGTTTTAATTGTTGGCTTAATTATGGAACCTTTTTGTATGACGATGACGAACCTCTGATAGGAGTGGCTTGCAACAGGCAAGGTCTGACTCAGCGTAAGAGGTTTACGTTAGTGAAAGAAGGGAACACCTGTATTCTGTTTAGCTGGATTTCACTTTCTTGGTGCTAGAAGACAAGCGGGGAGGGGGGGGGCGGACGCCAGGTTGATCCACGTTCTCCTTAACTGTTTTCCCTCTCTGTTTTCCTTGCCCGTGCCGAAACCATAACTGCTGGTCCTAGCAAAGTTTTGCCTCCACAGCGAAACCCTCCACTGCATATTCTGCCGAGGTACTTACCCACCTAAACCTGCCTGGAAGGGCTTGAGAAGTGCCAGCGAGTGGCTGATGCTGCTTTCCTCTCTAGCTGTCAACATTGAACCACAGGGATCGGAAAAGCACCGTTGGGACATTCCGCTGGCCTGGGTCAGTTAAAATGTTCAGCAAAGCGCAGGTGTTGCTCGCAGGTCAGAACAGACAAGGCTGGCTTCACCAGCAGCTCCCTGGGATCTCGTACAAGGATCATTCCCACGGCCATTTAACCAAGGATGCTGAGGGCTGGATGTAAGGCCTTCTACATGCCAACTGGATATTCCACCATGAGACTCTTCCAATCAAGCCATGCTTTGGACCGAGGCCAGACAGAATAAACCAAGGCAGCACACAGACCGTCAAGGTCTCTCTCTGGATGTAAGGCCTTCTACATGCCAACTGGGTGTTCCACCATGAGACTCTTTCCAATCAAGCCATGCTTTGGATCGAGGCCAGATGGAATAAACCAAGGCAGCACACAGACAAGGTCTCTCTCTCTCTTGCTTACGTTAACCCCCCCCCCCACGGACACCTGCTCTAATCACCACACGTCTGGGAGCCACATAGGTCCACCATTGGGACTTGAAGCAGCTGCAGCTGGTGACTCCCATTTCAGGGGTGCTGCGAATCCGCTCCAGGTTTGGACTCTGCCCTTTAAAGGAGCCTTCCAAGTTTCTGAGCCATGTTCCCCCAAATAGGTTCAGTATCTTTGGTAGCTCCTGTGAAAGGCAGACTAAAACCAAGAGCGGATTCACAGCACCCCTGAAACGGGAGTCACCACGAACTCTGCCTCGGAGGGCTGCTGGACCCAGCCTCTTGGCAAATGTCTCATGTTTTTATTTTCACTGCAAAAACACATTGCATTGTGTAGTGACCAGGGATTTTTGTGTGTGTGTGTGTTTTTTTAAAAAAAGAATATTATTTAAAATTCTGGCGTGATGGGAAAGAGGCAAACTTCAACATCAGATTTGTGGGATTGGATCTGTGGTTTTGCTCCTCCCTATCAGAAGGGAACTATGGAAGTGGTGACTTTGGCTGTTCTACTCCTCAGTGGTACACGGATTCAGCGTTGCTCATGTGCCGAATTCAACATGATCCACGGATGAAAGTGGCCCAATACCTTTTTGTGTTCTTGGGGGTGAGGATTAATTAACCATGGGCATTGCTATGAAGTTCTGTGTTCTAACCTGGATAGGCTGAGTAGCCACTGTCCCAGATTCACAGAAGCCTTAAGTGGCCATCCTATGCAAGCCATTGAAATATTAGAGCAGCATGCAGTTTTAAATCCGGGTGGGCACTGTGCTACTCCAGTTATGTGGCATGCATGTGCACCAGAACCGAAAGTGGGGAGCATGAAATTATTTGCTGAACGACAACGCTCAAAACCCTTGATTTTTGGAGATGACATCCAAAAGAAGTAACTTTTTGAAACTTTGGCGTCCATGGATAAAAGACTGATTTCCATTACAAATAGCTATATCTCTGGGCCTGTTAAGAGTTTGCCCGGTAACTGAAAAAGTGGCGAAGCTATCCTTAGAAATAATTCCCCACATAAGGAGGGGGTGGGATTAAATGCATCAAACGCAGTAGAAGTCATGTAATATTTTGGGCAGCTGGGTTCAGCACACATACCCTCCTGCCGTGTGCATTCTGTTTCTTCACGTCGAAAATCTGACGAAGGTGGTGAGCAATGGACCCCCTTACTTGGCATGGGGAGGGCATAACCCCACCAGGGTGCTAATGAAGAGGCAAAACTCACCCAAGCTTTAAGGAGTGTTTCATAACTTCGCCCTGCCCATCAAGCCGCTCATCGCCTGGATTGCTATCATGCGGATCTTCCTCCACCCCTCCAGTGAAGGAGGAGCTGGGTGGATTCCTTTAAAAGTAAGGGAGATAAAGGGTTCTTTCTTTGCTGTGAACGCCAGCTAATCAATTACTTTGGGGGCCAGGACAAAATAAAGCAGCTTTGCAATCAGAAGTCAAGCCAAGAAGGACTTTGGAGCAGCACTTCACTGAGGAAGAAGAGGCATCAGCCAAAAGTCTTCCTCCTCGTGGCCAAGGGGCCAAACTCCGGAGGGAGAAGAGAGTGGGAAGCGACAGGAAGGGGCAGGAGGAACCCAATTTGGGAGAAGGAGATCCAAGAACAGAGAACCTTTGGGGGTCTTTAAATCAAGGAGGTCCCTTTGGGAAACAAGACCTGCATGTTGCTGAATCGACCGGCTTCAGCCTTCATCTATAAAGCATCCCTCTCTCAAGGACTCATTTCAAGACCGACGGATCCGTTCCTGAGGAGGAAGTGTGTCTTAGGACTGGCACGGTCAACGGACGAGTTTTTGCCATCAGACCTACAGTGCTTGCTTTCTGGCATAACCCTTTGGAGAAAACACACATTGCAAACTCTGTGGTCCTTCTTGGTGTGCCTGTGTGTGTGTGTGTTTTCCCTCCATAACAATCTCTCAGAGTCCTCGCCATGACCATGCCTTCTGCCCTGAGGCTGACTCCTGACTTTTCCAACGCCACCACCGATGCGCCAGTCAGCAACAAGACCAACGTGACCTTCTGTGGCAGCCAGCCCGTGGTGATCCCCAACGAACTCTTCCTGACCTTGGGTGCTGTGAGCTTCGTGGAGAACATGGTGGTGGTGGCAGCCATTTTCAAGAACCAGAACCTACATTCCCCCATGTACTACTTTATTTGCTGCCTGGCAGTTTCAGACATGCTCGTGAGCATCAGCAATGTGGTGGAGACCATCTTTATGCTCCTCCTAGAACACGGGATGTTGGTCATGGACTCCTCCTCGGTGCGGAAGATGGATAACATCATGGACATGCTGATCTGCAGCTCTCTGATGTCCTCACTGTCTTTCCTCGGCGTCATCGCCGTTGACCGCTACATCACCATTTTCTACGCCTTGCGCTACCACAACATAATGACTTTCCAGAGGGCCATCGTCATCATTGTCGCCGTCTGGGTGGTCAGCACCATCTCCAGCACCATCTTCATCGCTTACGACAGCACGACGGTCATCCTGTGCTTGGTCGTCTTCTTCCTCTCCATGGTCATCCTCTTGGTGGCCCTCTACATCCACATGTTCACCCTGGCCCACCGGCACGCCCGCAAGATTTCCAGCTTGCAAAGGAAACAGAGTGCCATGCAGTTCACAAGCATGAAAGGAGCCATCACCCTCAGCATCCTGTTTGGCGTCTTCTTCGTTTGCTGGGGGCCGTTCTTTCTCCACCTGATACTCATCATCACCTGCCCCGGCCAGCCCGCCTGCACCTGCTACTTCAGTTACTTCAGTCTCTACCTCATCCTGGTTATTTGCAACTCGGTGGTGGACCCCATCATCTACGCCTTCAGGAGCCAGGAGCTCCGGAAAACTTTGAAAGAGGTGGTGATGTGTTTTTGGTAAAGGGAGGGAAGAGAGGCTGGTGGGGAATGGGGGTGTCCTTGAAGCATCTGGGCCATTGCTGGGCTACCCACCTTTCTTGGAGGGGCCAAAGCAGCCGGCTGGAGTTCAGCATCTCCTGGTGGGCAGGCAGGCAGGTAGGCAGAGCGACTCAGAGGAGGTTGGCAAAGCTGCACATCCCACCCGCCTGAAGCAAGGAACCCTTTGTGGCAAAGACAGGCTGCTCTTGTGTTTCCCAGCTGCCTTTGGACCAGCCACTATCCTGTTCACCAAGCGCCTTTGTGAGACCTAGTAGGACAGATTGACTATGCTGGCCCATTCTGCTTGCCACTGCTCCCCCAGAAAGGGCATCCAGTGTCTTGCCTTTCATGGCTCCAAGCAGCCCTCACGGACTAGTTGGCGTTTAGAGACAGCGTCTCTTTCCCCATGGATTTGTCTCACTCACTTTGAAAACTGCAGACGTGATGCATGGGAAACGCCAGGCAGTGGCCAGAGTTGTTCTGGGCTTCTCCTCTTCCTCAAAGCGAGAGGTGCGGACAACCAGTGATGGAGAACCAGGATAACGGAGGGTCTTTCTTGCTCAGGAGAATGGAACAGGGTGGAGCGACGAGGAAGCTTTTAAGTTTCACTGTGTTACCGAGCAAGGAAGTTCATCCCGCGGAGCCTGGAGACTTCTTTCTCCTTTTTTGAAGGAACGTTTTCCTGCAAGATGGCTTGCGTCGATAAAACAAGGCTGTGTTTCAGCTGGCCAAAGGTAACACTTGTCACGGGGGGCATGTGTGTGTTACAATGGCAAATCTTTGCGGCCAGAAGGAAGCTCCACTGAGCCGGGGTATTGGGGGGTGGGTGGGTTGATTTCCAGGTAGCAATGGATGACCTTGCCATTGTGCTGGTCTGCCATCACCTCACAACTTGGAAAGTTACTTTTCAAAAGGAATTCGTTCCTGTCCCTGGTTGCGGCATGTATGGGATGAAATCACTTGTTACTAGTTGTCGTAGTGTTGGGGACATAATTTGCTTCATCACTTGTGCTGCTGCTGATGTTTTCATTATATTGCTTTCTTGGGTTGGGGATTTATCAGGACTGAAAAGGGAACTTTTCTGTCGAAAGGCCTCCAAAATGTGGCTCCTTGAAAACAGGAAAGGAACTCAGAAACATTCCTAGTTAAGTTAACGGAAATATCTTTTATCCTTTTCAATACAATACTTTCAAAATGTAATTTTTTACACCTTTCTTGCCCCAGAGTAACTAGTAATGATGTTGCCTGTAACTAGTTACTTCCAACTTCTAATTGTGCTATAGGCTGCCACTCCACAAAGTTTGTCCTGGCAAACTCCTGTGTGTCAAGCTTGTAATGTTGGTTACTGTGTAAAGACCTTTCAATCTATATTGGGTAGAAGACGGGGAAATGGGGGTGGGTCCTGAAGGACAGATCCTGAAGGACAGATCCTGAAGCTGAGGCTCCAATAATCTGGCCATCTCATGAGAAGAGAAGACTCCCTGTAAAAGACCCTGAAGTTGGGAAAGTGTGAAGGCAAGAGGAGAAGAAGATGAGATGGTTGTACAGTGTCATCGAAGCAACCAACATGAATTTGACCAACGTCCGGGAGGCAGTGGAAGACAGGAGGGCCTGTCGTGCTCTGGTCCATGGGGTCATGAAGAGTTGGACACGACTTAACAACTAAACAACAACAGTAGCACAGAGGTTGATGGACATGGCTTGTTCTTGAGACCATGGAGCACCAGCCAAAAAAGTATGGAATCAAAACTCTGGTTCCTCCTTGTCTTGGCAACCAGAATCATCTCATTTTTGGTGGTTTTCTGTCCATTGAACTGGGTTTCTGTCTAGACCCCTGACTCTGCTGGTTCTGGTTCAAACCCCTTTATGAGACTCCCCCCCCCAAGGACATTTAAAATCTGCTTGGGGCAGACATTTGAACCCTTCACAAGGCCAGCCTTACAACTGCAAGCCCACTGAGAATGCTGACACCCTACAGGAAAGAGATGACCAATGGAGTGAATGAGGTTGACAAAGGTTTTTCCATGCTTAAGGGTTTCGTGAGTGGACTAGCTGCAAGGATGATGTTTCCTGAAGAGAGCTAAAAATGGGGCGGGGGGGAGGAATAGGCAGAAAAATTTTGGCTCCACAACATGGAGGTGCTTGGACCCACTCCACAGGATGACAGGAATATTAGAACGATCCTTCTGTTTGACTTTTGTATATATTATGTTGTTCATTTGAAATATTTCTGCATAATAAAGCTGAGTTCTGTTGAGCATATAGATCAAACTCTGTAGACCCCATGCTCTGAACGGTGGGTGGAGTAAGGTCAGAGTAGGAGGCGGAAAAAGCAAATTCATTTCTCTCTGCTACATGCACATGTGATCACAAAGACACAACGCTGAGAACATCTAACAACTTTTATTCCAGACATCCCTCACAAACCTCTGAAGTATAATCTGCTGTCGATTATGCCTGAGTCACAGATCTGCTGTTCTCCTGCCCCCTAGTTGTGTTGAGCTATTTCCTTATGCTTGATGCCTGTGTTGGCAAAGGATGATGGGAGGTGTAGTCAGACTCATCCGGAGGACCCTGGGTTTGGGGGAGGCTGCCGTTCATTCTTGGAAGCACAAAGAAACTCACAAAGAAAGTGAGAAGTGCAATTTATTTTGTGGAGACAGGGGCTGCCAGAGAGGGAGTGTTCGGTATGATTTCTGGAATCTTTGGTGGACACTGGGGGTTGTAGTCAATGAAAATATCTGACCCTCCATCTCTGGCCGGGGCGCTCTAGCAAGACCCCAGAATGGGAGGGGGAAAGCCACCAAAATTCCCCCAGAGGCAAAAGATGCCCCGTAAAGGTGGCAATTATCCACACAGAGGACACCCCCCCACTGCACATACATATTTGGACCCCACGTATCTACCAAACAGTTCATTCAAGGAGAAAGTTACTTGGGGGAGGGGGGCATTCTGCCTAGATTCTGCCAGGCTGGGGCATTCCTGTGGCTAATGGCTTGGCAGGAAATGCTCTCCATAGGCTCCCTGGCTCCTTGGCCGAGCAGCCACATAAGAGGCCACTCAAGTGCTGTGGATTCTCCCTGTGTACCAGCAACAGGCATGCAGGGAATCCTTTGGGGTCCCGGCACACTCTCCCAGCCGGGGTGGAGAGACAGCAGCGCTTTTCCATCTCCTCCGCCTGCTCGTGGCGTGTTCTCCTCCAGCAGAGAAAGATGGTCTCGCTCCAGGAAGGAGTCCCACTTTTGCAGGGAGAAGGACTCGTGTCCAGCCTCTGGCAGTTCCCAGTTGAGTCGGGATGGTCCGCATTGGATGGATGGATGGAGAGCCCCATTCCTTCTTCGCCGCATCAGTTGCTCCACGTCTCCTCTGAGAGCCTCTCTGCTTCTTTGGCTGCTGAGCAGCTCCTCTTTCCCAGGCCGGGCCTTCCTGCCACTGTGCCACATCTGGTGCCTCTCCTTCCTGGTGGCTGTTCCATGTCTCTTCCTTAAAGGCCATGCCACCAAGAGGAAGCTTGTCTCTGGATGCTTCCCAGGGGCGGGCGATGGCCACCAGCTTTGTGGGAACTCCGCTGCTTGCCTGGACGCGGAGTGAGCTCAGAGGGTTCTTCCCTTTTTGGGAACCCGCCTGCCTTGGCCCAAGGATGCCGTCACTCGCAAGGTGGCAGAGCCAGGAGAGAGACTGGCATCCCCAGTCAGGGGCAGGATTGGCAGAAGAGGGTTTATTCTCTCCTGCAGCTGAGTCACATTTTGACCACAAAAGGGGCCGGAGGAAGGAAATACATGGACTGGGGGGGGCGGGGCGGGCGGTGCTGCTGCCTGGGCAGAGAGGGCTTCACAAAGAGTGGGGCTGAGTTTTGAGAAGAAACAAATAATAAGGGTAAAAAGAAATGTAAAATAAAGCCGGGTAGTTTTCTCTTTCTGACATTGTCTTGAATGTGAGACACAGGTACTGCTCAAGGTCACTTTTTGCTCTTCCT